CTCTTCTTTCCCCTCTGCACTGCTCCGTGCCCTTCATACCTGACAGCATCTCATCAAAGCCAGAGCGAGCCTCAGGGTGTCGCAGAAGGGACTTGGGAGTGAAGATAATGAGCTGGAAAGGCATAAGCAAAGCTGTCAGGGTACGCCGCTGGGTACAGCCCCACCAGCACCTAACTAAGGTGGTGTCAGGCCTGGGCACCACTGAGGCCCCAGCCCCTTGCCAGGGTCCCAAGGCGGCTTCATTCAGGGACACCCCCCACCGGACTCTGGATGCTGACAGCCAAAACCAGCTTCAGAGGGGAATGGAGCCATTGAAGGCGGGTGTAATAGGAGTGTGGTTGATGGAGAGGGAAGTCTTGGCATCAGAGCTTCCCTGATCTCCAATGGAGAGAAGCAGGGTGGGAAGAATTTGGGATGTGCCCTTGTTTTGCTTTGCTCTCTCCCTGCATATCTTGGGGACCCGAGGCTATGCAGATGATGTTCTAAACCAGCCCACAAGGTTCCTTGGGTGAATTTGATATCTTTTATTAGACCACAGCATTCTTGAGCCCTCCTCCTACCTGCCCCGCCTCCACAGGGAGTGGGTTTTACCTCCAGTGTAGACGCCACTTTGCAGTAATCCCGGATGTATCTGCCAGCCCCCTGGCAACAGGGATCTGAGCATGGCTGACCGAGTCATGGCCAGGCTTGGAGGTGGAGGGCAGGCCGAGGCCCCACTCACCGGCTTGCGGAAGGGCAGAAGGATCTGTCTGCGCAGGACATGGAAGAAATTGGCCGGTGTGGAGCAGTTCACCACGATCCAGTTGCAGTCGTACAGCTGGCGCACATCACTGAAGTCCTCCAGTTTCTACAGCAAAGGGAGCAGGGTTGGTGGATGAGACCTAGCCTGGCTTGGTTATAATCTTTCCATCCAGCATGGAGATGTCCCCTGGGGCAGGGCTGGGCCGCGGTAGCCCTGGGCAGTGTGGGGCTCATACCAGGGGCCCATTGGGGGCACACAGAACCTCCAAGGCTTGATCTGCCCACTGGGGTATGAATTTAAGAGGTTGGCTTTCCCATCCCATAGGTGATGGCAAGACCAGGAGAGGAGTCTCCAGCTCTGGGCCAACATAACTCCAGATCCTCATCCACTGACCACCTCTGCTTTGCTCCCCACTAGGGCAGTATCAGCGTCTAGCTGTCCTGTGAAGTGGCAGAGGGGTAACATTCTCCCTGCATAAAGTAAAGCGGGGAGGCCATGCCCTAGGCCCACCTTTCTCCCCCAAGGCTGATGCAGCCCAACACTTACAGGCAGCACATCTGGGTCATCATTGCACATCTTGAGGAACCGCTCAATGCTCGGGGCCCTGGAAATGGGGTCAGAAGCCGTGGGGGGGGGGGTGAGGTCAGGGGCAGAGGGGTGCCAGAATGTACCCCTAAGCGCTGCCCTTCTCTTGCAGTGCAGCCAGTCGATGTCACGTGCCACCAGCATGGGCTTGAAGAACCTGATGTCTTCCCATCCCGGCCGTCAGCAGAGGGACTGGGATGGCTCCATGTCCTAGTGACACAGGGCCTGAACCCCATTGCTGGCTGCTTATACATGGCTAGACATGGCACAGCTGGCACCAACCCATGGCACACAATAGACATCCACATCCTTGGCCTGATGCCCCATCTTCTCACATATCACTGTCTCCCCCCCAACCCCACCCCCCAAAAAAAGCACATGCCTTGTTTTTGGCAAGACAGAAATTCCCCTCTCCCCACCCGCCAAGTTATAGATGCATAGAGCATGGATACAGCCTAACCTTCAGCTCATTTGCTCACCCTTCCTCCACTGCTCAGCCAGAAGCTGAAACCCTAGCTGCTGTAGGAGACTAGACCTCCATGAGCAAATCTGTGATTCTGAAAAGAGCTAAAGACAAGTCTGTAGGGCTGTGAAATTATAGAATCACAGAAAATTAGGGTTGCCAGGGACCCTGGGAGGTCATTTTGTCCACCTTCTTGCTAAAGAAATAGGAGAAGAGACAGGCTATGAGACAGCAGGACTGCCAAGAGAAAGGTTAGCTTGATTAAAGGAACATCAAGGCCATTTAAAAAAAAAAAAAGGGAGAGATGGTTAACACCCATGAGGCAAAGCAGAACAGGCCAGGAAGTGAAATGACTTCCTCAGCTGCATGAACAGAAATGTCGACAGAACAGGAATCAAAGGAGGGTCCTTTGATTCTGGGAAGCAAAGAGCTTCCCTAGTTAAGAATTTGAGAGATGGGGGCTGATTTTTTTTTTGGGGGGTGGGGGTGGTAAAAGGTACACAATATATGTGACATTATAGAGCAATAGGGCTGGAAGTGACCTGCAGAGGTTTCATCTAGTTCAACCCCGCCTTCTGAGGCAGGATCAGCCCTGTCCAAACCATCCTAGGCACGTCTATCATCTAAACTCTTTGTAAAACTACCATCAGCCCTGACAGAGCACGAGGCATCACACCTGACTCTGCCATGGGGAAAGCAGGGGGACTACTGTGGCTTATGTCCTGCTGCTGTAAAAGGTTTTTATAGACACTCAAGAGATCCCAGGCCAAGGCCATGCCCCCACTATGGAGAAAGGCAGCCTCCCCCACCCCCCTCCCCACCAAGTCTGACCAGGGAGAAAAATTCCTTCCTGATCCTACATGCAGCATCAGTCTGAGCCTGAGTGGAGGAGCAAGACCCTCTAGCCAGAAACCTCCAGCTTTGGTCCCAGCAGGAACATTGGCACAGCCCAGTCACTATCCCCAGCCTGGGCTACAGCAAACACCCAATGTCTCGTCTCCAATGGAGGTTTACAAACCCCCACACAGAGCAGAAAGCAGGGGGTAACCAGCACAGCCCAAAAGCCTGGGAAATTCCCATGGTAGAACATAGGCATCGCTATGCCTAGATCATCCCTGACCAGTGCCTGTCCAGCCTCTCCCTGAACACTTCTAGTGATGGAGAGTCCACCCCTTCCCTGCATGTCCATTCTACAGCCTGCTCTACAAGGGAAGAAGTTTTTCCTGAAATCCAACCTAAATTTGCTTTACTGAAACTTCAAGCCATTGCTCTGTGTCCTGCTCACTGCAGCGAGAGTGGGTGCTTTCCCTCTTCATGGCAGCCCAAGTCTTTGAAGACTGCTATTATGTCCCTTCTCAGAGTGAATATGGTACTTCCAGGAAACACCTGGCTCTGGCTGCCCAGGGGAGGGGTCCTTACCATGCCCTCCATGCCATGGGGCAGCAGCAGGACAATGCCATTTTGCCGGACCCATTTGGCCTGCCCAGGGCAGATGAACTGGTCGATGATGCACTGGGCTGTGTTGTGGAAGTCACCAAACTGGGCTTCCCAGAGGACCAAGGAGTTGGGGCTGGCCATGGCAAAGCCCAGCTCGAACCCTGTGGAGGATGTGGAGGTCAGCAGAACACCCGTGCTACAAGGCAACACCAAGCTCAGTTGTCATCCCCCTGCTGCAGCTTGGTGCCCACTCACCCAGAACGCCATACTCTGAGAGGGAGCTGTTACAGACTGTGTAGGAAGCCTGGTTGGGCCATAGGTGGTTCATGGGGATGCAGGTCCTCTTGTCCACATTCTGGTCATGGAGGATGTGGTGGCGGTGGCTGTGGGGAGAGGCAGAGAGGGCAATTGCTAATATGTTCCCCTCTGCCAGGAGGTACCTGGGCTGGGTAGCTCCAAGATGGCACCCATGGATTAGGTGCTGCAATGGGGACCTCTCCATGGGCCTTCCAAGAGGGCTCTACCCCCTGCACCTGTCAGCCAGGGGAACGTACCTGAATGTGCCCCTCTCAACGTCCTGACCACTGAGACGCACGTGGATGCCCTCCTTGAGGAGGGAGCCAAAGGCCATGTACTCTGCCAGGGCCCAGTCCACCATCCTAGTCTTCACCATCTCCCCACGAGTCTTCAGGATACGGCTCAGGCCTGTCAGACAAGACACCAGTTGTTGTCTGCTGGGGGGGGCACTATACAGGGCCACAATTCGTCACAAGGAGCTTGATTTGCAGAGTCATTAGGCCAAGTCACTGAGCCACCTGGATTCCTTGTGGATGCTGAGGGTGGATGGAACGTCAGATCATGGTCCAACTTGAGTGCCCTGGGCTGCAGAAGCTTGGCTAGTCACCTCACTGCCTTCCCAGTGCTATGTAGGGCCCTCCATATCCCCCACAGACTAGTATGTGGCATCACCCTGCAGGCCACGCCAGCATCAAGGCTGCTTTGTGGAGCTTCCACCCCCCGCGTGGCATAGAACCCCTACCTCCGTGGATAGTGAAGTCCTCCACAGGCACCGAGCTGGCCACGCTGCCGATGTGGGTCAGGTCTTCCTCACTCAGGCCTGTGGAAGGGCAGGTCATGCTTCGGGGCTGCCCATCCAAGGTAAAGAAGCCTGGAGGGGAAAGAGACAAGTTCAGGACCTAGGTCCAACAGAGATGCAGGTTTAGGCATGAACAACTCGTGCCCCCGGCAGCTGGCGGGGGAGGGGCACAGCAGCAGAAGCAGCAAGCGGGGGAGCTGTTGGCAGTGGGAGGGGGTGTGGCAAGTGCCAATCAAGGATCAGCAGCCACCTGCAGCCATTGCTGACAGCGTCAGAGGCCAGCAGGGATCACTGACGACACGCAGATGCCGCCAGCAGTATCTGTGGCAGAGTGGCAAGTGGTGACCACCAACAGTGTCAGCGGCACCTTTTTGTAGGGGGTGCATGGCCACGCTCAGGGGGTGCTTTTGCACCTGCATGCACCCCTTATGCATCGCCGCTGGGTTTAGGGATGCCAAGGCCATACAGAACCCCATGTCTCCAAAGGGGTGGCTGTCCTCTTCTGAGCTGAGGCCACAACTCTGTAGACACAGGAACGGGGAAACCGAGTCACCCAGGCCTGGGGTGTTGCCTGCCCCCCAGCCGTGAGGGGCCATCAAGAGGAAGCTACTTACCAGGCCAGGGAGAGTCCAGCCAGTGCTTGATGTGTAGGATCTTCTCATCCTTGGACCTGGCATGGGCTTCTTCACAGATCTTGTCATACTTGGCAATCTCCTCCTGGGAGACAGAAGGCTGGGGGTGAGGGCCACTTCTGGTATCCACTCACCCACCTATCACCCAGCCCCAGAGACAAAGCTGCCCCCAGCCCTGGCTTAAATCGCCAGCTCCCAGCAGGCAAATAAAACTGCCACAAAACATGGCTGCGCCCAACTGGCCACCATCCTCCTGCCAGCTGTTGCTGCCATCCCATAAGGGCATGGTGAAGAGGGCACCCCACACTGTAGAGCTAGCATTTTCCAGGAGGGAGCTTTGAGTCTACTGAGGGGCATCTCAATTCTAGAAAGGTTGAGAACCAATGATCTCTTCCAACGCCCTGCCTATGGGTGATCCTGCCTCAGGCAGGGGGGGTGGACTAGATGTGACCTCTGGAAGTCCCCGCTTCTCTGTGATTCTAAGCAAGATCTGCTTCCTCTCACGCACTCTCAGGGAAGCAGCTGATCCCTTGGGAGGATTCCCAAGCACTTGTACCTCATACTCTGGCTGATTCACCACCCCCTGGGAAATCAGCAGCTCAGCATATTTCTGCAGCACAGGCTTCTGCTTCCGGATCTGTTTGTACATCAGTGGCTGGGTGAACATGGGCTCGTCCATCTCATTGTGGCCGTTGCGCCTGTAACATACCTAACAAGGCAAAGGGGCCATTAGAAGTTGCCAGCCAATGCTGCCCTGCATGCCCAGAGCTGAGCACAATGCACTGGCTAGGAAGGAAGCCTCACTCATGAGGTCCTACACTTAGTTTCTGCAGAGCTGTGTTGTAGTGTGGACACAGGGCAAAACCAGAAGAGAGAGTCTGCTACTGACTATCAAAACCCAGCAGGGTCCTCAAGAGGATCACACCTAGTGCCGCCCCAAGCTTCAAGCAGCACTGCCTTTCGCTAAACCAGCCCAGCCCAGACCCAAGGCTGGGGATTCTCAGGACAGCCTGTTTGGAGGCTTTCCTTCCATTACTACTTCTTTTGGCATGCCTTCACTTCCCACTGAGATCCAGAGAAGAGGGACTTGAACAAGCCACCAAGCATGTACAGCACATGTGTCCCAGCAAGCTACGATACAGCTTTTATACTGTTCTGCCAACACACAACACCTTGCAAGCCACGACAAGGCGGTGAGACCTTTCACCTATTCCTTATTTTCATCCACGTCTACAAGTCTCTTCCCCTCTACACTGGATCGAGAGTATCTTCCATTCTGTTTCCCACCTCAAGGCAGCCAGATGGTTTCCTGCAGGAGCTATTTGTGTGCCCAGCATTGTGGTATTTCAGGGAAACTTTTCCTTTCTAAATAAACCCACGTGAAAAAGCTAATCCGGGAGGATTATGGGTTGTAGATAAAACTAGCTATAAAAGGGATTGCTCAGGTCAAGGGCTGAGCACGTTCATTCAGATCCCCAGGCAGGCTGGTAACGTGTGCTCTGTCACTGGTTTGCTAGCTACGGCCCGTTGTGGCCCCTGATCAGAGCTAGCAGAGGTGTCGTAGACTGGCCTTATCAGCTGTTAAAATCCACAAATGACCTGGGGGGTTTTATTTTATCTGAGGAAGTCCAAGACAAGCCAAAGTAACTAGAGAGCGGTTTATGGGGATACTGGCAAATCGGATACAGGTCACCAAGAGCAGCTACACCCAGATATAGCTCAGACAAATTGCTTGTGGGCTCGGTCTACCTGGGAGGGGAACAGAGGGCTTCATTCCTCCCCGCAGGTTGGCTGATCCCAGGACTGACACACCTAGCACTGAGGGGTTTGGAGTCTCAGTACCCCTCAACACAGTCCTAAAACAAACAGTTAACAGACATGGCCATGGAACAAAATCCCCTGCAATGGGATAAAGACCCAAAGTTGCCACTTCCCCACTGGTGAGGGCCCTGGCTCAACACCAGCCACCTACCAGGTCCACAACAACATCCTTGTGGAAGGTGCTCCTCCACTCAGCCGCCACGTTGCATACGTACACCACAGCCTCAGGGTCATCAGCATTGACGTGGAAGATAGGTGCGTTGACCACACGGGCCACATCGGTGGGGTAAGGCGAGGAGCGAGCCATGCGCGGGTCCGTGGTGAAGCCAATCTGAGGCGAGAGGGTGGGTAAAGAAGGGCCCGGAGAAGGGTGGCACATGAGGGGCTCAGGTCAGTCAGGTGTGGGCAAGGAAGTATCTCAATGTATCAGACATTGGAAGGTGGGGGCGGAAATGGACATGGCTTCAGTGTCAGGGGCAGCCTCCAGGCCGGTCACTGGCACAACAAAAAGGCAAGTCTTGGGGGTTCCCTACTGAACACTTCCCCTCATCTAGCTACTGCCATGGAGGCACCATGTCCAGGCCAGGCCAAGAAGCTGCCATCAAAAGAGCTTCTTCTGCCTGTCAGCTCCTTGAGCTAAACACATCAGCTTTCTGTGCCCAGAATAGAAGTGTGGAGACTGTCAGGTGGCCAGGGCTTCTTCCCCTTCTCTCCCCCACTGCCTGTGGCCACAGAGAGAAAGGGGTGGAGTCCTGTCTGCAGCTGGAGCTACAGTTTTGGCCCCTTTCACAGCTGAATTGATGGACAAAGCTTCATCTGCTACATAACTGAGCTGCAAAACAGAGTTAAAACTGTAGCTTTAGCCTGAGAAAGGTGGGGGGGGTGGGCAGCAGGGGGCTAAGATTAGGCCCTGTCCACTCCACGCGGCCATTACTCTGAAAGAAGCAAAGATTTCTTCATCCACTCACCCACCTATCACCCAGCCCCAGAGACAAAGCTGCCCCCAGCCCTGGCTTAATCGCCAGGAGCGGCTGATATGGGTGGTACACGAGATGAGAAAATACAGCAACTGAGCCGAGTTCGGAACTGCTACAAAAAGGAGAAGGAAGTGAAAGCTGGCGAGGTGGGAAGAGGATTAAAACAGAGTCTGTAGGAAAGGCTGTGTATGCAAGGGGGGAGATTGGAGAGAGGCTTGTTCACCAAGAGATCAAATATTCCATTTCCTGTCCCATCAGCCTCTGCTCAGACACCACCCCCCCAGTATAAAGGCACCAGAGAACACAGTCATGTCCAACAAATCCCACACACTAGAGTGGCCATTTCCAGAAGGCAGCCTCTGCTGGCATGAGCCCAGCTGGGGTAACTGGATCCCCAGAGGACTCGTGGCACCTTTCAGAAGGGCTGTGAGGAAGCTATTGCGGGGGAGCCACGATCCCTTGGGGAACCATGGTTGTGTCAGGAGTTGACAGGCATGCCAGTGTTCCTGTTGTCTCTCAAAGCCAGAGGGTCCTGGCTAGAGCCTCTTGCCTCCCCATTCAAGCCCAGACTGATGCCACAGAAATCATAGAAAACGAGGGTTGGAAGGGACCTCAGAAGGTCATCTAGTTCTACCCCCCTGCTCAGAGTAGGGGAAAGGATTGGGGCTGGTCCACCTCCCCAGCCCTCCCTGGGTTTCTGACACATTTGGAGTCAGGAAGGAATCTGACCCCCTGGTCATACTGGTAAAGATCTGGAGGGGTTTCACCCGCCTCTGTAGTGGGGGCACAGCCTCTACCTGGGATCTCTGGAGAATATATTAACAATCTTTTATACGAGTAGGACACTGCCCCCCCCACACCACCCTGCTTGACTAGTGGCAGGCTTGGTTGTGATGCCTTGTGCTCCATCAGGGCTGACTGTAGTTTTACAAAGCGTTTAGATGATGGATGCATCTGGGATGATTTGGACAGGGCTGATCCTGCCTCAGGCAGGCAGTTGCACTAGATGTGATCTCCAGAAGTCCCTTCCACCTCCACTGCTCTAGGACCACGGTAAGATTCTTCCGAGATGAATCAGAGTCCTAGAAGTTCCCGTCCCTCTGGTTCCACCCCTACCCTCCTCCCAACCACCACTGCCTCCACCTTGGCTCACATAATAGAGCTCAGGCATTAAAGGGGAGAACAGTCTGGCATGAGGCTGCTTAGGGCAGGGTGTCACCCTGCTCCAGCCACCAGCTCCTCCTTCCTCCATGGCCCCACCATTACCTGGTTGTTCACCACCACGTGCACAGTCCCATGAGTGGTGTAGGATGGTAGGTCACTCAAATGGAAGGTCTCGTACACAATGCCCTGCCCAGCAAATGCTGCATCTCCATGCAGGAGGATGGACATCACCTGTGAGGGGAGGAGACAAAAGGGAGCAGAATCAACAAAGGCAGCCTGATGATTTCTCTCTGGCATGGAAGTCCCTCAAGGTAGGAGCAGGGAAAGGGGTATCAGATGGCATGGGGCTGAGAGCCCACAAAGTCATGAGATGCCTCCTTGGACCCATCAACTGCACAGCCAGACTCTTAACCCATGGATGACTATAGTAGTGGGGAGGGCCTCAGGCTGATGGCTTCACGCACCAATAAGGTCTGGCTTTGGGAGGTGGGATTTGAGTAGACAAGGGGAATGTCAGGCTGGACGGGGCTCCAATTCATAGATTGTAAGGCTGGAAGAGACCTCAAAAGATCAGGTCCAGCCCCCTGCACCAAGCAGGAAAGATAACCAGGGGTCAGGTGACCCCAGCAAGGTGACCATCTAGTCTCCTCTTGAAGATTTCCAGGGTAGGTGATTGCACCACCGCTGGAGGGAGCTTATTCCACAGTCTGGACACCCTGACTCTGAAGAAGTTTTTCCTAATGTTGAGCCCGAATCAATTTTCCAGGTGTTGGTGGCCATTACTTCTCGTCTTCCCCTCGTGTGCCCTGGTGAACAGTTGCTCACTGTGCCCTTGATGTACTCCCCTAGTGTAGTGGTAAGCTGCTACCAGGTCCCCTTCTCAGCCTTCTTTTCTTCTGGCTGAAGAGTCCCAGATCCCTCAGCCTTTCCTCATATGACTTGTCTTCTAAGACTCTGATCATATGGGTGGCTCTTCCTTAGACTCTAACAAGGACGTGGACAAGCTTCAGAAAGTGTGGTGCCCAGAACTGGACTGCAGCTGGAGTACTGCATCTCAGTGCCAAGTAGTTCCCTGCACCCATGAAAGTTATCCCCCAAAATAACACTTTAAACCTCATTCCATAGCTAGGAGAACTCCATCCCCTGCACAGAAGCAAGGAGACAAGGGCGCTGCCAACATGGTGCTGCTGCATCAAGAAGCCATAGGTTCCTAGATGCTTAGAAGCTCCTAGGAAGAGGAGCAAGTGGAAGGCAAAGTTCTGTGGTTTGTGCCAGCCAAACCTAGAGAAGATGTATCCCTCCCTGCACCCGAGCCTGGCTATCCCGCAAGGAACAGCAAGATGCTTTAGCCAAGAACCTCTGGGTTTCTAGTCCCAATGGGGGTACGAGCACTCCGAAGTCTAAAACCCCAGCCTGGGCTGCGGCCAATTACCCAGTGCCTCAGAGGACGGCAAACTGCCCCAGAAACCAGCAGCATTCACAAGGGGGGGGAAAAATAACCCTTTCTGACCCTAAGTGGTGTCCAACCAAAGTCCTGAGGCCTGGGGATTACCAGACACTTTTCTCACTCCCAGCATCTCCACTGCAGTCACTCTGGGAGATGCTGAGAGGGCAGAAAGAACTCATCATCTCTAATTACAGAGGAACCCTCTGTGCAAAGAGTGGGATGTGCCATTTCGTCAGCCGCCTACCAGCTGTCATATTGGAGCCAGGGTGGTGACTGAACTTCACCAAGCAGCAGCTGACGTCCCACTTGCTCATCCAGCCCCAAGAGAGCGGGTGGTCTCAAGTGAGAAATCCATAAAAATCACAGAAGCGGTGCTGGAAGGGACCTCCAGAGGTCGCATCCAATCCAACTCCCTACCTTAGGCAAGATCAGCCCTGGCCAAACCACCCTATACAAAACCATCTTCCAACCTCTGAGCAAAAACTAGTCAACCTCACACAACAGCAGACATCACACAGGGGCACCATGGTGGCCAGAATCCTGCTGCTCTAAAAAGGTTAACATGCACTCCAGAAAATCTAGGCAGAGGCTGTGCCCCCACTACAGAGAAAGGCAACCCCCCCTAAATCCATACCAATCTGACCAGGGGGGAAATTCCTTCCAGACCCCAAATGCAGCATTGGACTGAGACTGAGCAGAGGGGCAAGACCCTCTAGCCAGGACCCTCTGGCTTGGGTCCCAGCAGAAGCACTGGCACAGACCAATCACCATCCCCAGCCTGGGCTGCAGTCCACACCTGATGCCTTGGAGGGAAGTTTAACATCCCCGCCCCCCCCAATGTAGCATGGGTGGGGAGGGGGACAGGAATTCGCTCCCAGCTTCATGGACAACCAGTAAAGCCCAGAAGCCTGGAAAATCCCCTTAGCAGAACACAGGCATTGCTACATGTAGATCACCCCCAACCAATAGCTGTCCAACGTCTCCCTGAACACCTCGTGATGGAGAGGCCACCACTTCCCCGAGCATCTATGCTGCAGCCTCCCTGCTCCACCAGCAAAGACATTTCCCCCCCCAGATCCAATCTGAACAAACTTTGCTGGCCCGTGCCCTACTCCGCAGCAGACGTGCTTTTCTTCTTATGGCAGCCCTTCAAGTCTTTGAAGGCTACTATCATGTCCCCTCGTAGGCACCTTTTCTTCAAGTTGAACATACCTAGCTCCTCCAGCTACCTTTGTTTGTCACTGATGACAAAGATCTTCTCCTCACCAGTGCGGACTAAAAGCCATATATGTGGCTAGAGATGTCCATCCCTTTTCCCCATCCGTCACTCCGTCAGTCACCAGAGTCCAGCCAGCTTGTGGGCATGCCAACAAGGGCATCCACTCTTATCCCAGAGGCACTTACCTTCTTCCCTTGTATGTCCCCGCAGTAGAACTGTTCCGCCTTAGTCTTGCCCTGAACCACAGGGTCCACAGCTTCCAAGTGAGAAGGGTTGGCGACCAAAGAGAGCGTGATGTTGCGGTCAGTGACACGGTTGATGCGGCGGTGGTACATGCCCAAGTGGTACTTCACATCGCCCGAGCCCTGGAGGCAGGGAGAGAGAAAGAGGAGGCAGACAGTGAGCTGTAAAGGCTCCAGCCAGCCTGGGATACAGACAGGGGGCTCCAATGGTCCTCTCAACTGCTCAGAAATATCTAAGATACTGGAGCTACCTAAAGAATCCATTACCTTCCCTGCAAGTATCATGAAGCCCCTTTATAAAAACTGATGGGGTGTTCACACCTTGAATCCTGTGCCCAGTTCTGGTCCCCGCACCTCCAAATGGATCTAGAAGACCTAGAGAAGGTCCAGAGAAGGATGCAACAAGGATGATTAGTGGTATGGAGAAACTAGTGAAGCCAGGCTTGTTCAGCTTGGAAGAGACACTTGGAAGAGGGACAGGAGAAGGGTTTATAAAAACATTAAATGGCAAAAGATAAAGTCAATAGGGATTTATTACTGACAGGCTCTCCCCAGACAAGAGCCACAACATGAAGCTAGGAGGCTGTAAGTTTAAAACGAACATCAGGAAGTTCTTTTTCATTCAGCATGTTAAGGTTTGGAACTTGTTGCCACCGGACTTTTGGGGGGGGGGGGGGGGGGGGGGGGGGTGGGGGGGGGGGGGGGGGGTCTGAGAGTTCGTCCAGATTTACCAAGGGATTGGACATGTTGTTGGAGGAAAAGGGGCATCAGTAGCTAATGAGCATGGGAGCAAGGGGTACAGCCTCCGAATTAAAATGTCCTAAACCTTAAGTGTTGGAGGCTGCAGGTGAGAAACGAACAAGGGACAAACCCGATCATTCCCAGTTCACTCTCCCTTCCAGCCTCTGCCACTGTATGACACAGGAGGCTGGGTGAGACCTCTCTCCCCAAGCGACTGCCATGGAGATGCTGGGAGTTGGGTGATCCCAGGCCTCAGGACTTTGGTTTGACCCAGTAAGTGGCAGTTCTTAAGAATCTGAACCTGCTTACATCCTAATGATGGAGAGTCATGGGACATAGGATGCTGGGTTGGACAGACTATGGGTCTGGTCCAGTCTGGCGCTCCTTAGCCGTGTCCCTTCTCCACCAACCTATCTCCAACAGTGGCAGGAGTGAATGTTTCAGATGGAGAGCATCAAAGCAGATACAAGAGTGATCCATGCTCTACTCAACACCCTCTCTGCATCCAGCATCTCTGGTTTAGAGAGAGGAAATATCAACTGCTCTGCTTAAACAGCTCTCAATAGATCCATCGCCCGTGAATCCATTTAGTCCCTTGTTGGACTTGGCTGTACTCTCTGCCTGTCACTTAAGCTCCACATATTAACAATACACTGCATAAAAAGTGACTCTCTCTTGTTCAGTTTAAAACTGATCTGCTCATTCACCAGGTGCTCCTTCATTCTAGTATCCTGGGACTTGGCAAAGAGCAGTTTCCCAGTCACTTGGTCCACACCCTTCATGATTTGTAGACTTCTATCCTATTCCCCACTGTTGCCTCCTTTCCAAACTGGAGAGTCCCAGCCTTTTCAGTTTCCCCTGGTCTGACAACTGTCTGATCATTTTTGGTCACCTTTCTCCATAGAGAAGGAGAGAGAATAAGAAGCTGCTGAGAATACTGCCCCCTCCCCACACACACACACACACACACACACACAGATGAAAGATGGCTGCATATGTGGAAAGTTTTGAGATGGGCGAACGGAAAGTTCGTGGTTTCTTTGACAGACACCTTCCAACAAGGCACTTGGAGTTGCTACTAGCTGCATACCATGCTGTAGCAATTCAGCATGCTTTGGAGGGGAAGAGGTCTACAGACTCTTGCAAGGAAGAAAAGTTGGACTTCAGAAGAGCATGGTAAAGGGAGAGATAAGTCAGCAACAGGTACAAAAGAACCCAGGGGATTACTCATCTTGGATTCAGAAAGACTTCAAGCAGATAATAAGCCTCTTGATCTACTGATAATATCACCTATACCACAACATGGGAACTGGGATGAAGGAGGCCAGTTCAAAGGCTGTGAACACTTCACACATTGCTCGGTATTGGTGAGGCATCATGGAGAGGCCTCATCTGGAGCTGTGTGTCTAACTCTGTGCCCTGTACTTCAAGAAGGACATGGGTGGACTGGAGAGAGTCCAGTGCTGAGTGCCAAAAATGATCAAGGGCCTGAGAAGCAAGACTGATGAGGAAAGGCTGAAAGAACTGAGGTTACCGAGTCTGGAGAAGAGGAGACTGATTTGATCACAGCCTTCAAATACCTGAATGGCAATGACAGAGAGGATGGAGACGGGCTTTTCTCTGTGGCTGCAGGTGACCGGACTAGGAACAGCCTCAAGCTGCAGCAAGGGAAGTTGAGATTGGAGGAATTTCCTGACTCGGGGGTAAGGGGGTGTCCATCCAGCATTGGAAGAGGCTGCCCAGAGAAGAGGTGGGGGTCTACTGTTGGAGGCTTCCAAGAGCAGGTTAGATGGACAATGGGTTGGGATGGTTTAGTCAGGACCATTAAAACTGGGGGCTGGACTAGCTGTGACCTCATGGAGGTCCCTTCCAATCCATTCCCTAACAGTCTTCTTGCCACAAGATTCAGGTCAGGAGCCAAGCAAGGTCACAAGAGCATCAGATGTCTTCAGCTATGCAGGGATCTTGGGAGAGGAAAGAGAGAAGTGCTATGGAGTGGTTCAGACATGCACGCCTACCACTATGGCCAGGGTGGGTCCCCCTGACAGCAGCAGCGGTGAAGTCGTAGGGATAGCGCCCCACACCTGGTAGACGGGGCTGTGCTGCGCTGCCGTCACCAGTGGGTAGGGGAAGTGAGAGCATGTGCACCCAGCTGGGCGCCCGGCAGGCCAAGGGACACAGTTAATAGCACTCAGGGCTAAGGGGATGAGCCCATACAGTGTGTGCTGCTGTGGGGTCTGGGACCAGCCCGGGGGCAACTCTCCAGTGGGTAGAAGGGGCCACTGAGCAGAAGCTGCTCCCCCAGCTGCATTCTTAGCTCAGCTCTGCCCTGGGCTTGAGCAGACGCACACTTGAGCCCCTCCCCAGTCCCCACCCCCAGCTCGGTGAGGCTCAAGTCCAGGATGGGGCCGCCACTTCTGTGATCCCTCTGTGCCTGTCCCCACCTGGGCTTGGTGCCCTTTTGCTCTCCCTCCCACCCCGATCTGGCCTTTGCTCCTGGGCTGCCGTAAGTGAAACGTTGACCCCAGTGGCTGGGAAGGTGCAGCAGGATCACCCAAGGCTGGGAGGGGGGGGCTCTGGGGGTCCCAGGCCATGCTGAACCACAAGCAAGGGGGAAAAAAGCTGGGCAGACACTGGCTGCAGTCCCTGCCAGTAGCAGAGGGGAGACAGGGGGCTTAATCCTCCTCCACCTGAGCCTGCTGTCCCATATCCCCACTGGAGTCGAAGGGGCAGGGGCAAGTCTGGCGCACCCAGTGCCGTGTCTCATGCACTTGTATAAATGGCAAAATGTACATCAGCACACAGAAAAAGGTGGTGTGCTTTTGAACTAATACCTTCAATGTCTTTTAGTTCAAAAACACGCCGCTGCCATTTTCTACACACTGATGCACATTTTGCCATTTATACAAACGTACGCACTGCCGAGCGCTTTTAAAAGCGCCTGGTGCTGCAGCGTGTACATGTGTACAAATACCCTTAGTCCCGTTACAGGTTTAAACCAGTTTATATGTGCAATTTCTGTTCCTGGCCCAGGTGCCTGGAGTCTGGAATAAGTCCCCATCTCAGTGGGTTATTCCAGCATTGACCACTGGAGGGATCCTTGCCTGTTCCTCCATGCCAGACACTGTCAAAAATGACATGAACCACATTCTCAGGCAGGATTTTGCCAGGACTGAAACCACCATATACTGCCAGTAAAATGGGGAAAGCGTCTTGCTACACGTTTTCTCCCTTCCACCTCCATGTTCCAGGTCTGCCCCTATATTTAGCTGTGGTTAATCAGACTCTTCGAGCTATAGCAATCTCCGAGATTCCATCAGCAGACTGGACAGGGGAAGGGGACCAGAATGACTCAAGGAGGGCACTGGGCTTCATTTGTGGTGTCTGCCAAAAAAGGTTGCCTCCCAGCCATCTTATATGAAAGACACAATGGAAAAAGCTTGGGACAAAAGTTCCTATGAGGCCTGACTGTGCTAATCTAATTTGCTCCCTGCCTTCCTCACCCTCCCAAGAAACCCGGTCATGTCCTTGATCAGCTCCAGGTTCACTAGCACTCCCAGGAGGAGAGCCACTCACCTCGTCAGCAGCCTCCAGCTTGGAGTCAAACTGGCAGAAGATCTGCTCCAGCTCCTTGCGGATGACGTTGGCCAGAACATTGAGACGCCCCCTGTGAGAGCAACCTGGGTTAGTAATACTGAGATCTCATACAGCCTGCCCAGAGATGGACCCTCCATCCCTCATCCCCCAGGCTTCAGGCCCTAGCTGGGACTCAGTAACTGAAGAGGGCAGAAATAGGGTGCCTTCCCATGCTTGGTTCCTCTCTCAAACCGGTCTAATTACTGCCACCCCAGCCAGAATCCATCAGAAATACACCAAGGAACTTGTATACCACACATTTCTTAAGCAAGCTGGATGCAACTGGCCAATGACATCCTTGTTATAAGGCCATATCTCCAAGCTGCCCCATGCAGCACACCCAAGTGACAGGATCTCTTTAGCAGAAGCTGCTACATTCATCCTGGAACCACAAGTTGTGGGGATGCTCTTCTCGCATCCATTGCAGCCCAGGATTATCCAGGCAATAAAAGCTTTGCAAGCTGGCCAGTTTGTGCAAGATATCTAGAGATCTTCTATAAGTGGATACCATGACCATGTAACACAGCTTGAGATCAGCCATCAGCGAGTGTAAACTCAAGACTAAGGACTGGGTGATGGATAATTTGATTTCTTACACTCGATCTACTGAGTAAGATCCCTTAAAACAAACATAATTGTCTTTGGAAAAAGGCCCACTGGCCAGGGCTAGAGAAAGCCAAGTCCTCAACCCCTCCAACTTGAAACCCAGCTAGTTTATGGGGTTATGTATTACCTGTGGGGCATGCCCATAATAACATAGTCCACCCCCTTCTGGCTCGACTTGTCAATGATAGTTTTCAGAGCGGGGATCAGCACCTCGCAGCCTTCCAAGCCAAAGCGCTTTTCTGAGGACCATTTCCGATGTAGGAACTCCTCAAACCTAAAGGGCAGAAGCAGAGAGAAGTCACTCAAAAGGCTACGGCTTACAGGATGGGGAATAAACAACTCCATGGGATAGTGCTGATGGGGGATATACAAACTCCTCTCTTCCGGGCAGTGAAAGCCTGTTGGAGGGCAGCTCCCAAAGTTTTGTTCTGGAGAACACGGCAACACAACAACTCCAAGATCCAGACCAAAGAAAAAAAGGACCAAATGAGTCTAGACTTTGTAAGGAAGATCCCTAAAATGAACACTGTATGGAAAGTATGTACATGCACATACAGAGATGCTCTACACATGGATTCATGTACCACCAACAGTCAACTTCCAGTAGGCCTGTGAAAAAGTTGTAGCCTCAACTCTCAGCAGAAGAGGGCTGGAAAGCACTTTGAGCCCATCAGACCACCTAGATGGGACTCCCACAGCAATCCAGCTAGGGGGACCAGGATGTTACTTTAGACAGGAGAGCTGGTGGCTCTAACAGGACATCCCAAGGCTGGAAGAGGACACCCCAACCTATTCACTATAGGGCTGCAGGGTAAATGTCATTCAAGGACAGTGGAGTACCTGGTTGATCGCACCAGCCTGGCCAGCAGGGTGCGCTTCTCCTCACTGGTGAACTGCATGATTCCTGGGGTCTCAAATTTCTGCCGTATCCATTGACACTGCTCCAGGTCATTAATGAACATGAACTCCACCCCAATGTGCTGGCAGTAAGCCATCTAGGCAAACACAGCAAAAAGATGTCAGATAAAGCAGACCCAAGGCTGGTTTTTCTCCACCTTGGAAATAGAGCATGTGCCTAGAAACTTCCTTAAGACATTATGTTATAGTGGGACTGGAGAACATCCACCTCATTGCCTTGCAGGTCAATGTTGCCCGTGTTACCAAGACTGAAATGATCACGGCCTGAACAGCATTCCCACTGACCTCACTTACTGCCTTGAATTAAAGCACAGCCTGTAGATGGCCCAATCATACTGCAATGAGACCATGGTACCCCTAGAACTAGGCGCTAAGGTGGGTTCAGAAAGTATCAGAGAAGCAGGGCTGGAAGCGACCTCCAGGAGGTCCAAGATAGGATCAGCCCTGTCCAAACCATCCTAGACAAATTCATTGTCCAACCTCTTTGTAAAGCTACTGTCAGGTCTGACAACACCAAACATCACACCCGAACCTGCCACAGGAAGACCACAGTGGCCAATATCCTGCTTCTATGAAAGATCGTTAACAGATGCTTGAGATCCCAAGCAGAGGCTGTGGCCCCATTGCAGAAGGTAGCAACTCCACTCCCCCCTCACCTCAGTCCATACCAATCTGACTGGGGGAAATTTTTTTCCCCCGACCCCAAATGCACCATTGGTCTGGTCCCGAGTGGAGACGTAAGATCCTCTAGCCAGGAACCTCCAGATTTGGTCCCACCAGGAGCATTGGGGCAGCCCAATCACCATCCCCAGCCTGGGCTCCAGCCTACACCTGATGTCTGAAAGAGGCTTACAAATCCCCAGACTCACGGAACAGCAAGCAGGGAGAAAGGAGCAACCAGTCAAGCCCAGAAGCCAGGGAAATCTCCATAGTAGAACACAGACCTCGCTACACCTAGATCATCCCTGTCCAGTAGCTGTCCAACCTGTCCTTGAACTCCTCCAGCGATGGAGAATCCACCCTTTCCCTGGGCATCTATTCCAAGTTGCCACCACCTGTCTGCTTTCAGGAAGCCAAGCTCACACAGTGGTGCTCCCTGTTCTGAAATATTCCCTGGCTGGAGATCACACCCCATACAACAACTGCAGTGGGGTGGGGTAGGCAGTGCCCCATTCCCAACACCCTGGCAGGCGAGGGAGTTCAAGACAAAAAAAACTAGAAGCTCTGGAGGGTGAGGCTGGAGCAACAGTGCCTGGAACCAACCCAGTACGATCCCATATTCAGTGTTACAGACTCACAGCTGGAACCAGGTCTTTTCAAGAGCGCTCAGCTCCCAACAGGTTCCTTACCATGATAAGATCTGCCCTTGGATGTTATAGAACAAGACAAGGAGGTTTGACTCGTAGGTTAAGCCCAACCCGGCCCTTCATGCTGCCTCAAGCAAAGTGTTTGGCAAATCTTTTCAAGCAGGGTTGTCTATTGCCTCTCTCAGGGAAGAGTGGAAGTCAAGGGGTGGGGGGTGCTCCCCTTAGGCAAGGTGCAATTAAGATGGGATGAACACCTTTGGAGACCCAAGTATTAGGGCAAGGATCCCAGCCCTGGCAAGCTTTGTAGCCAATGATGAAACACAAACAAACATTAAGATCTATCCCCAAAAGGAACCCAACCCCCAAGAGAGAGAGCAATACCAAGCTGGTTCCAGCTGGGTGCTGCCTTGTTTCTTGGCTAAGGTGGCAATTTCAGCGCTAAGAATTAGGCCGTGTCCGAGGCACCGATTACACTCTGCAGAAAGGCCCTGCAGGCTGGGGATGGGATGGTGACCACAAAACATTTTCATACTCAAGGCCACCAGGCTGTCCATAGGGTGATGCACGATTGTTCTCCATCCATTGGTTACCACAGGACATGACAACATCAGGTGTTTTCTAGGGGGTGTGGGTGGCCAACCAACCCATGCAAGGCAGCTCCCCGCGGCTTTCTACTCAGCTCCTTAGAAGCAGCTTTCCCTGCCCTCAGCCCCTGACTGGGGACCCCATTTCTCCCGATGCCCAAGCTGGGCTGGGATCCACCATTACAACGTTTCATTTGACCTACAATGGCTCCTTGGCTGAGATGAAGCTTATAGCCCCCACAGAAGGCAACCAGAGAAGCAGGACTGCTGAAGGCACAGAAGACAAGGAGACCCCGCTTCCCCCCTGCGAAGAGGTTTATGGAATGGTTTGGATGGGCTGATTCTGCCTTGAGACTGGATTAGATACAACCTCCTAAAGTCCTTTCCAGCCCAACTCTTCTCCAATACCAAGTGCCAGCCTATGCCTGCACAACAAACTCACCTCTACCATGCCCCCCTGCTCTGGACAGGCTTCCTCTTCCACTAGACACAGCATGGCAGCATCCACATACCACTGTGAGCCAGCTAATGTCACTCTGGGCATGGGGGTAGGTAACTGCCCAGCCAGACATATGCCCTGCTTGGTGTCACTGCTGCTGGGTACAGCAAATCTATCAGGTAGACTTGACCTATAGGGAATGATGGAAGGAGAATCTCAGGCAATACCCAACAGGGGAACTCAAGGACATCTTACCTCCAAGCGCCGGATGATCTCGCGGAGTGGGAGAGCTGACTCATTCCCTCCGATGAAGGTGGTCGTGGGCAAGTGGAAGACCTTGTCAAGATCCGATTCGTCCAGCCCATAAAACCCTGCAGGATTTTCGGTGGTTGGGAAAAGCCAAAGCGGGGGGGGAGGAGGAGAGAGAGAGAGTTGGTGGGCGGGAGGGGGCAAGGGAATGGGGTCATTGGACAAGGACGGTCACAACAGGAGCCGGGGGAAGGGGGGGGTTGGAGGGGAGGGGGGAAGGACAAAAGAAAGCAGTGCAAAACCAAAAAAAATAAGCATGAAGGAGGTTTATATGGGTACAAAAACCAAAAAAAAACCCAGGCAGTAATTAAACAGAAGATGTCAGCACAGAATTAAAAAAACAACAACAAAAACCAAAAAAAGCCAGGGGGGGTTGTTATTTATGCAGAATACAAACACACAGGGCAATACACAGGCACGTCAATTGGCAAATTAAAATCAGCGTTGGAATCAGGAGGTGATCGGAGCCCCGCAAACAAGACGTGTTCCAGAGAATGTCAAGGGAGGGGGAGTAAAACAGAGAGGCATTGAGCACGTGAGGGGGAAATAAACAAACAAACAAACCAACCAGATTTCACCGCACATCAAGAATGAAACGGAAGACAAAGCAGGAAACAAAGGGTTAAAACAGACCCAAACCCAAAAAGGAAAAAAAAGAGAGGGAAGTGAGACAAAGGAAAAGAAAGAAGAAAGAAAAATTGCATCAGTGTCCGGATTCTGCAGTGGACTCCCCTGAATAGCTCACCCAGGGAGAGAAGCATTTGCAGTGCAACGCAACCTCCGTTGGGTTTGGCCAGCAAAGAGAACTGGACTTCCCTTTGTAACCTGCACAGGACCCGCTGGCTGATCTCAGAGCTCTTACGATTTCTCCTCTGGAACAGAGGCTTATGGCTATGCCCGGCACAGTGGTGTTAGGGTGGCCTTACAACCTCATGATACAAAGGGGAAATTTCCAGCTCAACTCTCCCTAGATTTGGCTTGTATGAAAGGACAATCTGCTGAATTCTGAAGGAACCAAGGCAAAGGGCTGCCTACCAAGGTCTGTCTGCATGATCTGAGACAATCATCAACCATGATCTGAGACCTATCAGATGGGGACTATTGACAAACTCTAGGCTCTGTATTTGCCAACCAGGCCAATAATGTCATGGGATCTCTCCTCCTCCAGCTGCCACTAAATCCCACAGGATCTATTTAAAAACACCCCTCACTCTGGCAGAATGATTGAAAGCAAACTCTTTGGTTATTGCACTCGCCCAGCCTGCATTCACCCAACTTCACGGCAATATCTGCCATACATTCAGACAGCAACCTGCTCCCGAATCAGCAGAGGACCCCAACATCTTAGATCACCTCTCCTTCCGGAAGGAGCATGGCTGCATCCTTGCCTGGACCTCAAGTCCCCTTTGTGGCATTTGCTGCTAGATGCTACATGGGATCAAAAGGCCCAATGAAAGAGTGCTGTTTGGTATTTTCGGTCCAATTTTGAGCCACTGTGGGTAGACAGCGTGAGCTTCTTTGACCCATCTACCAAAACCAGCTCTAGTGATAGGAGCCATCTTGTCCTCCAAATTACCTCTCCACTAGGTCACTGGAGCCCCTGCCACATGTTACATATTACATGGTTCACCAGTGAATTGCACAATTCATTTTCACCAGCCACATGGGCAAAGTAATTATCATACCATAAAAATGGCCATCCAGCTACAAGAAAACCAACCAGCTTCACAGTGCTCGTAAACATGTACCAATTTTATAACTGGTTTCTATCTAGCTTTTACCTATTTAGCACTTTTAGCTGAACGTATGGCAGGACCCTAAGTGTTACCTGCCTTTGTAGAGTGGCCTCCAATATCCACTCTGAAAGCAGAAAGGCCTCCTAGCACCAGGGCTTGGGAGCAAATTGGTATGGAAGGTTTTTGTTCAAACTGCACTGAGAAGTTCTTGAGTTTGAGTGTCCTGGAGGCATATTCATCCAGGTAACCAGCCTCACTGGTACTGCAATAAGTGGTCCGCAGAACAAAGCAGGAACTCCACAAAAGCAGCTAAGTGACTATGGGGTAGTTTTAAATCCAACTAAATGATTTTGCCATAAATGGTATAGGAAGAGTGCAAACAAATGTTAACTTGTGCCTCAGAGGCACATTTATCTTTTAAAATAGGTAGAGAAACTTAAAAAAGGGCTTTCTTCAATCAATGTTAAATGCCCCAATGCCCAGCCTAACCAGTATGTCACATGGAGACCAGCAGTGGCCAGGACCAGTCAAAACCAGTAAGCAAGGTTTCTGCTGGGCTTGATGAAGGTGGGGCACTCTGATCAGAGTTCTACACTGGCACGGGTGAACCATCTGCCCGATTCTGGAAGCCTAGCAAAGTCATGGGATGAGACTGCAATGTGGTTAATTAGGTCTTCATAACACAAATTGAGGGCTTCCACAGGAAGGGCTAAGAACTTCAGGTCAATATCTACCGTGGCAGCCTGCCCCCAAATCAGGAGAGGATCCCAGCATCTTGGATCACCTCTCCTTCCGGAAGAAGCAGAGCTACAGCCTTGTCTGGGTCTGAAGTTTCCTTTGTGGCACATGTACCAGACCCTACGTGCTGGGATCAAAAGGCTCAATGGAGGAGTGCTGTTTGGCATTTCACAACCCAAGGACAAAGGTGAGACTTAAATGCACAGGAATTTCAGCCTTGTCACACAATGGCAGCCTTATCTCATGGGTAAGTTTGCTTGAGGTGACGGCCTGTCCTTCGGAAGGCAGTCTGCTATGATCTCTGCAACTCTGTTGAGCAAGCTAGGCTTGGAGAGACAAGAAGCACAGCCACAAAGCCTTATGGGGAGCTGTGCCAGGAGACGGGTTGCCCTGGGGTGAGCACAGCTGTCATTTTATGTAGGGAAGATGGCTAGGGACTGACAGAACCCAATGGACTTCATAAAGTCCTATTGCTTGAGGCTACACAGAAGAGCATGCTACTTAATCTCTCAGATCTGGGTCATCCAAGGGAACAGAGGTAGCGTGCATTTTGGTGGAGAGAATTAAAATTAGAAAAAAGTTTAATTCAAGTGGCCACTGGCATCCAAGCTATGCAACATGTGGAAGCTGGCAGTCTCTAGACAAAATATGGAAAAGTGAGAGGTTGGTACCAGGAGGTAGGCACACTGTCCCCATGGCTATCAGGCAGCTATGAACACAGCACCAGGCCAAGGGGTGTCTGATGCCAATTAAAGTGGTTGGACCTGAAGTAACAGTCACCAACCACCCTGGGGAAACTAATCTTTAAGTCAAAAAACTGAGCAGAGGGAACATCCATGGGGAAGTTGACCAAACCAGCTACTATTATTCTAGGTTCAGGCTCTATCAGGGGGGTAGTGTTTGTCTGGAATACCATGAGTTACATTTACCCCTTACCTTCTCTGGAAGGTCTTCTCTGTGTAGGCAAGGCCTCGAGAGGCAAAGATGCATGAACCAAAGCCGGCTCTCCTCAACCAACATCACTCTGTAGACAAGAAGCCCAGGTGGCAGGAAGTACCAAGGCCACTGGTAGGAGCCGAGACCGTAGGCATGGGGAGGTTTCCAGACAGGCCATTGGGAAGGAAGAAGGCACTTAAAACCAGGGGGGTTCTCTTCAACATGTAGGCAAATGGAGAAAAGTTGCCAGCCACTGGGGAACTGACTGGCACTAGCCAGGACCCTGCTGCTTTGGGGAGGGAGATGGGCGAACTAAAGATGGAGGAATACTTCTCTAGGCTTCTGGGCAGCTGGTTGGAGGGTAGCTTCGTGCCCTAGGGGGTCCCTGGACACAGTAGGGCTGCATTTACAGGTCCAGGTTTCTCCAGGCTCAAGCTGCCTTCTCACTTTGAAACTATAATTCTGGGCAGGTTTAAAGGGCAGCTGGGTCAGAGATCCTTCCCTCCTCTGCTCCCTCACTGCCTCCACCCACAAAAAGCCAGGGAGCAATTAATACAGCCAGGCAGCTGAGACGGGGGATTAGCTACGAAGTTGTCACCCAGGGATGTTCCTATGTCTCAGATTCACCTTCTGCAATAATAGGAAATCAAAGGTTTCCCACCTTTGGTGTCTCAAAAGTTCCCCACAGCAGCCAGTCTGTTCCAGCATGCTGAGCTCAGGAAAAAACAGTGAGAATAGCAGGTCCTCACAACTAAGCCAATAGTTTAGACCCTAGGGGACTGAGGTAGAGACTTAACGGGAAGCAGCCAAGGTGGAAAAACTGGCTTCTGAGGACAAAGGATTTTTCCAATGACAGAAAAAACGTACTTAATTATATGACTGATCAAGGAAACCCAGAGAGGGTGCTAGGAACACTTGGGTATTACAGCCAATTCAACCTAGTCAGAGCTTCTAGCAACAAAACCAGGAAGATGGAGGCCTCAGAACAATGAACTACAAAGAAACTTCCCAAGCAAGCTAGACATGGGGACTTGGGCATCTATCCCAAGACTCAAACATTTATCTGGGTTACAGGAACTACAGAGAAACCTTCTCTAGCAAGCTAGACATGGGGACTCAGCAGACATCTATCTGCATTATGGGCACTGCTGGCCAACTGTACAGCTCAGACATCTTCCAAGACAGAGATCCCAGACAAATGTGTGACAGTTATCATGGCAGCCACCTTGGAGAGTTATCTGCTGCACCCGATTTGTTCATGCCCCGAATCAGCTATTCAAAGAGTCCTGAGCTCCAGAAGGGGTTAGAGGCTCATGATTTGCGTACCTCCTACTGTTAGCACTCTCAGCCGCTCCTTGAACACTGCCAGATCTGGGAGGGGAAAGGGAAGAGGTGGGTTGCAGAAGGGAGGAAGACAGAGATACAGCAGTCAAAGTTAGTTTAAAAAACAACACCGGAACTGTGAAAAGTAGCCATGGAAGGCACAAGTTAAAAAGTCACATACAATTCAAACCAGCACAGGAGAAAGGGTTAGAATAGAGGATGACTACATGCTACAGAGGGGGTAGGGGATGGAAAAAAAAGATCCAGGTGAATATACTTCAGACACCCAGGCAGAGAGCGGAAGAGCCCAGGGCGGCATTGACGCTGGGTAGCAGTTGAGCTGCATGGTTTGAAATCTCCTCTTGGCTGCACATCTTGTTGAGGGAACAAAAAGTGTGTGACAGCTAAAGGCAACCATCTGACAAAGGCCCCTGAGAGACACCATCTCTGTCCCCTGCCAAGTCACCCTGGAGTTTTGTGGTGAGGTATCAAGCATTTCAGATACAGCCCACCCCTTTCTTTAGGGAGAAGTTGATCAAGCCAGGAATCATGCTATCCAAAACAATGTCCTTGGATAGTTTAGCTCTAGGGGAAGGGTTAGAAGGTCACCCCTAAAGAGGAATGGGGGGATCCGTGGACAGTAGGCTGCTAAGAGCAACAGACTGCAGTACAGCTATGGACAGAGATGGGAAGGGCAATTAAGGGACCCTTGCGCCTTAACTCCATTCTTGGACAAGGTACCTCAGGGGTCTCCTCTAAAACTTTTCAGATACCTCTGCTAAGGACTATGCCACAAACACCTCAAGGCAGGTGGACACTGGGAAGAGGAAGCGGGCTGTGTGTTCATGCTGGGTCTCCTCATTTCTGGCTGGTACCATGTTACTAAAGGCCCCAACATGCAGCTGTCTGTAGAACCAGCTCCGAGGAGGTGCTCAGGACATCACGAGCCTGCAACTAGTACAAGCAATAGAAACTAGGTCATTGGGTCAGGTGTGTTCTTGTTTTCAAGCCTCCCTCAGAGGCATTGGGTGTGCTAACAGACATGCAGAAAGCACATGAGTTACAGCAAACTCCCCCCAAACAGATGGTCCCTGTTTAGTCGGTGGGGGAGGGGCAATCAAGCTCCACTTTGAAGCCAACCCAGGGGACACCTAGATGACCCTGGCTCCCCTAGCCCCACCCATGCCATCTTCAGGATGGGCAGGAGGTGGGGAGGAGTAAATGAAGGGAGGGGGCTCCATCTGGGGTTTGCCCAGCCTGTGCAAGATCAGACCAACATCAGATTTGCGGTCAGAAAGGACTTTTACCCCTTAGTCATATTGGTATGGACTGGGGGGGGCAGGGTTTGCCTTACTCAGCTGGGGGGGTCTCTACCTGGGATCATTATTAAAAACCTGTCACAGCAGCAAGACATTGGCCACTATGGTCCCCTGCTTTCTCTGTGGCAGGTTCAGGTGTGATGCCTCATGCAGTGTTGATGGTAGTTTGGCTAAGAGGTGGAACAGTGGATTTGTCTGGGATGGTTTATGCACGGCAGATTCTCCCCCAGGCAGGGGGGCTGAACTAGATGCGACTTTTGGAGGTCCTTTCCAGCTCCACCTCTCTAGGACTATTATAAGAGGAATGCCTCGCACTCCCTTTTAAAGCAGGGAGGATCTAACTAATTCAGTGCTAAAACAATGTCCCCCCTGCTTCACGCAACACGGTTTCTGCAGAGAAGTGGCTTTCGCTCCCCACCCCTCTTTCCAGTCCACCCCTCCGGACACAGTCCCCACAAGTAGCCTGTCCGCTCATCATCTCCCGAGAGCCAAGAGGACTGCCATCCTGGTCGCTTAGTCCACATCAGCCAGCAGGCCAGAAGTCAGCACCTGCAGGTTTTGAGCAATGAACAGTGACAAAGTCACCTCTACTTTCTCAGGCACCTTATTTGCATATAAAAGGAATTTCTCCAGTTTAGCCACCAGGAGAGGACCCAATTTCCAGAAGCATGGGAACTGCTAAAAGAAGCAGCAGTGGAGGCCTGGCCTGGAGGTAAGTGGGGGTATCAGAGCCATCATGGAGAAGACAAGCTGCATAGCGTGGGCTGGGACACCAACGTATTTCAGTTAGCACAGGGCAAGGAAATGTGTTGGTGTCTCTGGATCCCGCAAGCCACACCAATTCCATCCAGAGCTCCTCCAGCCCTAATGCTTTACTGTGCTCTGGGAGACAGAGCCACAGCATGCAGAGCAATGGGTCCAGCTGACACTACCCCTTCCACCACTGACCATTCCTAAATCAGGAACTGAGGTGGAGAGTTTCCAAAGGAAAAAAAAAAAAAAAAAAGTCTGCTGAAGGTAGGCTGGAATTCAAGTGCCAGAAACGACAAGTCACTCTCAGGACAGGCTCCAAGAGTTCAGCCTTAACATGATCAGAGGGCAAGTATGGGAACAGTCCATCAGCTAAACAAAAACCAAGCAAGCAGCAAGAGATCACAACAATTCTTTTCTTAATGGCAGCTCTGCCCAAGCAGATTGTTCTTTTATCTCTAAGCTGATCTCTCATGCCTTCAGGAGAAATTAGAGACCAAGTCATTACCCAGCCTGCCAATTAACAGTACCCTCCTGCAAGCACCCCCCACTTAGTTAGGAAATCACTTTTCCAAGCAGAAAGCCAGAGGGATTAGCTTAGAAATTGGCTTCCCCTGCCACAAACCTACTACAGGGGGTTCTTAGACCCTTTGTTTGGTCAAGGGAGATATGGTTTTCCCTTCCCGCTCCCCCACACCAGCCCCATAGATACCAGTCAGAGAAAGGGACAGACAAGAGGGGTATGCAACTACCACCCATCAAAGGCAAGATGACTTCTTCCTTGGGAGTCTTGGCAGGCAGGCAATAACCCAAGCCAGCAGATCCCATTTTTACTGCAACAAGCCTGAATTCACCCAAAATGAGTTGAAGACATGTGGGGAACGGGGAGGGAGACAGCAGCTAAGAGATGCCCAAACCAGCCACTTTATCCAAGATTGCCAGCTTCTTGTGCTGTTATGCAAGCAGCATTGTACCCTTAAAGGCTTCTAATTGCTCCGGGTTTGTGTCTCCAGCACTGACCCACTCAACACCGAGCACCCATCTGCTTCAGTCCGAGCTGTCACCTGCCTTTGACCTAAAAGGCAAATCTCCCATTCTGGGAATACAAAACTCTCACACTGTGCTGATTACATCAAGTGCATTTCCACAGGCGGCTGCATATGATAGCCACCAGTTTAATTTAATGCTAAGCTTTATCTTAAGAATTTGCCTGTTAACTGTTTTCCCTGGGGGAAAAGGCAGCCCTAAGTCCTAACCTCCTGATGTCCAGAACCCTACAGCTTGTACACCAACTCAAAAAGCTTTCCCAAATTCACCTGTCATTACGTGTGCTTTCACTTCTAAAAAGGGATCAACTTGAGCAAATCTAGTTTTCCCAGAGCTACGCTTTCACCTTGGGAGGATTAGGAACAGCTGGCATACCATAGTCTCTTGCATACAATACGCTTCACCCCCAAGCAAGCCGAGTGTGGCTGTGACAGGGTTAGCAATACAATTCCATGCTGACAGAGAAAGGGAGAGAAGCCAGCAACCACTTTACAACACAGCATCTTTGTGCTCCTATTCCGGCAAAGAAAATAAACTTCCCCCACCTGAGACATGGACCCCAATTTTAGAGCACTATTTTATTTATTTTATTTATTTTGGGGGGGGGGGGGGGGGG